GATGTAATGGCAAAAACTGGACGAGGTTTTCTGGCCGCGACACGTCCTTGAACGCTACTTCCCGTCGGCGGAGATTGCGTTGGAGAACAATTTCGAGCAAGGCTTCATGCCGGAAAAGTGGCCGTCTCTCGTTCCGGACGTGTTGGAAGGTGTTGACATTGAGATTTTGGATGACGAGGAAGAAGTCGACGATACACAAATAAATGCCGATTACGAAGATGCCGGTGATGATGATCGCAAATCTTCAGACGAAGAAGACACACCTCCTGTCCAGATTCCTTTGAAATCTCGTCGTAAATCTCCCGGCAAGCGTCGCCGTTTGGATGCCTCCTCCTCTGGATTTGAGACAAAACAGGCTAGCTCTGCTCGGAGATATCGGCTTGCAGCTAAGTCCTACGATGATCTGACTTCCGGAGAGATCGCTGAGTTCGAGATTCCGGAGACGGACAGTACTTCGTGGCGTCAGTTCGGAGTGCACCTGACTTGGAGTCGGACGTCGGCGAAGATCAAGTCCCAAACGTTTGGGTTTCCTGACTACGTACGACTCCCTCCTGATTGCAAGATTTTACGAGAGCGTTGGGAGTCTCTGGACGTACGCTCATTGGTCCGTGCGGAGTCATGGAATGATATATGGGCAGGCCGGACGAGAGCCCTCTTCTTCCACAAACGTTCGGCATTCACAGACCAGGGTCATCACCAGTTTGACGAGTACTCTCGGTTTATTCATGCTCACTTGCGTGAAGTTTGGGAGGGAGCTCACTGGTATACTGTGAAAACGATTGATGATTCGACCGGACGACTCCTCCATACAGATCACGATCGTCGTCATGATTCCATGAAGCAGGGCATAAAGACGCAGATGAAACACCTCAAGGATGCTGGCCTTCCTGAGACTATCATTCTGGAACTTGGGTTCATCAAGTATTCGTCTCACTTATGTCCGTGGGTCTTGATGAGTCCTGATACACATGTACTGGGAACAAACTGGCCTTATTCTTGGAAAGAACAACTCGTCATTCTGGACGACCGTGAGCCAGCGCGTGCGCAGTGGCCTTGTCTTCCAGACGGAGAGGCGCGCATTCAGCATATTCCGAAACGCCCGACGCTCATTCCTGCGGGTCTTCGCGAGGAGATCACAAAAGTCGAGTTCTGAGTACGGAACTCTTCTTGAGTATTTTCTGCGGGGTTAATCATGAATAACATTTTCACATTTTACATGTCATACACAGCGTTCCTTCTTCTTGGTCCCTTATTCGGAAGTTTACTTCCTTCGGAGTAATTGTTCAAAATCGAAAATCTTCCGACGAAAATCATCAAAATCCTTGGAGCATTTTCGACATCTCCTTAAACATAGGCAACCCATTTCCACACGAGTCATCAGGTCGTAGTCAAATTCGCAATTCGTAACCAATTTTCAAAGCAATTTCAATCGAGTCGATAATCACATCGGTATGATTTCGTTCGGTGCACTCCGTTACGAAAGTTACACCGACGGATGATCGTCTCCGGCCTTCATGGCTTGGAAACGGCTCGAGCACGGGCTCCTTGGCAGCTTAGTTGAGAGGTGGGTAGCCATTCCGGATCGTCATACCCTTTCCACTTGATCAGGTATTCGTGTCTTTGTTTGGAAGTGCGCGTCCGTTTGGTCCATCTCAGATTCAGATTTGTTCACTTCGTACTCATCATTTTCCTGATCAGACGCCCAGGAAGGAGAGCCGCATCGAAACCTTCGCTTTCCGAAATTTCGATCAGGATAGTAAATAGGGCGCGCGGTTTCAAACGACTGATATGCACCCAAGGGTTCACGCGGTATCCAGTATCCTCGATCTTCAACTTGACTCGAAAGTTATCGTGGACCTCCGCGATTCGAAAGGGGCCATGCCACGTATGAGGACGGGTTGCACTTTCGGAATGTATAACCAAACTGAGTCGCGGTTTGAAAACCCGATTTTATCCGTTCGGGCAACTCGCGTCATTTCATCGTCTCGACTTCTGACCGTATTTTTAGCCTCTTTTTGGAGTCTCTCCTCACAGGCCTGTGCATATTCGTAGTCCCTTTGAAGTTTGCGACGCTACTCAAATGCTGCCGTTCGGAGAGGTTGGTCGGTTTCGAGCCCAACGTAGCCGAGATCGTATTCCTTGTGTCCCAGCCATGTACTAGGTAGAAAGGAGTGTCCAGTCGAGTATTGTCAAACGACGTATTCAACGCGAACATCAATCACTTGGCGTGGTCATCCCAGTCACTTGATCAGCTTCAGCAACGTATGCCCGGACGGAACGTATCACCGTCTGGGCAGATCTATCGTGCTGACCATTTGCTTGGGGGCGACAACCCAACGTTGCACGTCGGCTCCCCAACAGCTCTCTGAAACGAGTGAACACCTCAGACATGAATCTCGGATCCCGATCGTGTCTCAGAAGGGAGCTCGCTCCGAACCGTCGAAAAACTGTTTCTTCGTACGCTTCCGTCACTTCTTTTGCCGTAGTCGAACCCATCGGCTTACACATCACAAATCCGGAAAAGGTGTCTTGGAAGAGAAGCAAGAAGGTATTTCCTTGCTCGGATCGTGAAAGATGAGTCACGAAATCCATCGAAAGAACTTCGAAAGGATAAGCTGACTCAATGTTTCCGGGCGAAGGACCGGACGTCCCTTTCAGCTTGCACAGTCTACGCGTTCTTCCACAGCGTTCAACGTCAGCATACATACCAGGCCAATAAAACTCCGTCCGGAGTTTCTTTTAGGTCCTCTTGATGCCCTGGTGTCTGCCGTGATAATCTTCGTGTGCAAAAATGTAGTTGGTCTTCTCGAAGCGAAGTCCATACGGCTAGTCGTAGCTCGGATTCCATGTCCCGAGGTCGTTCTTTGGTCGACTGCGCCAGTCGGTACAGAATATCTCTGCCATCCAACACGAAAAGTTCCGCATGTTTTGCTATCTTCCGGAGACATCTCGGGGAGAAACGATCGAAATCACCTTTCAAAAACCTTTTTGGTTCCGAAGGATATTCATCTCCGTCTTGATGCACCCGGATTCGTCGCCATCTTTCCGTCTGGAACTCGAGAGGTCCCATTGGGCCAGTTCACACTGCCCGCGACCGGGATAGGCTATTCCGTTTCCGAGTTTGAGCGTAAACCGGAGATATGTTCACATCGAAGTATTACGTTTTTAACAGGACCGAAATGTTGCCAAAACGTACAAAATAGTGAAGGAAAAATGGTTAGTTCAAAAAGAACGTAGTTTGGGTTTTGCGTGGTTGGTGATGAGAAGTACGCGCAGTGGAAGAAGCAACAGTAGGCTACTGCGAGGGTTATCTGAAAGCGACGGCATTTCGCTCGCCGGTAGCCCTCCAAGTGCACCAGACTCCATGAATGGCATTGATCGCAGCCACTCGGGCGGCGAGATTGGCAAATCCCAGCAAGGAAACAGTGTGCAGAGTTCAGTAGGCCACTTGGGAGGTGATCTTCGTTTTCTTGACGGCCTCCGTGTGCGTGCAGGTGGTGATATTTGCGGTGGTAAAGATTCTCGTGTCGTTGTCGGACAAACTGCAGCTAGTGGTGACGGCACCTGTGGTGCTGGCAGCAGTCGAGGCGATGGGATTAGTAGAAGCGGTCGTGGAGGCCAAGGTAGTCATGGTGGACACAGAGGGCGCAGTCGTGGAAATGGCCGTGGACGTAGTGGTAATGGTGGCCGTGCTATTGACAAACGGGGTCGTGATGGACATGAGGCACCTATTACAACTGACGAAAGCGCTCCCGGGTAGCTGCTTCTCTTGCTCCCCTTCAGAGAGAGGCTCAGCGGTTCTCTCCGTAGTAACGTTGCCATCGTCATTATACCAGCACTCCCCCTCCACTGTGTCGGTCATGGCTCCCGTTCGTTGCATGCCATCTTACCTTGCTCTGGCAGCGACTGTAGCAGCGGCGTGTGTGCTCCTTGTGCGGCTGCTGATAGTCAAGAAATCACCCGACATGATGAGACTGCAAACACGTTCGGCACCACTAATTTTACAATAGCTATGCCGGAGCTATAGGGCACGCGTGAGAGCAGGCCCTATCCAAGCGCGAGTTTTGGTTTTTTTTTTGTTTCCCGGCATACACCATGCTGGACGCGGCAGCCTGAACACGATCCCACCTACGTTTCCGTCATGGTATACCGGAAACCCGCAGTGTGTACTAGCCCATTGGGGGCCTTTCGGAATTCACATTCCTTTCTGACGACCAAGTCAGAACCGCCAGCACTTTCGTGGCCGGCGGCAGTGGAGTAGATTCCACTCTCGCAGACTCCTGCCTCCGTCTGGACAATCTCGTTCAGGTCCTTCGGTTCTTCGTCCGGAGTGGGCATCCGCTTCATAATCTGTTCAGCGATTCTGGATACTCGTTCCAAATGTGCAAACTCATCCTGGTCTGTCACTTCCCAATTCTCTCCAGACGCCAATGTCTTGGACGTGAGATAGTCCGCAGATTGGTTATACTCCCTTTTGACGTGAACCAGCCTCACCGTTCGGAACTTTTCTTTCAGAGTTTGACACTCGGCCAACCGGCGTTGCAAGTTTGGTTGATGACAGTTGATCAAACCTTGTACTTGTTGTATGACGATTCGAGAATCTCCCAATCAACTAAGTCTTCGATGTTCCGTTCGGAAGCCATCGCCAATCCATCTCGAAGTCCTTGGTATTCAGCATCATTCACTGTAACAGTTTCCAGAATGAAACCTCGAGCTTGGATGACTCTCCATTCCATTAGTTTCCAATGCAACCACAACTGCCTTTCTTGGTCGAAGTCTTGGCTGCTCCATCGAAACTGAGAACAATTCCATCATAGTCACTCCTGACCATCTCCACGCTAACGACTGGAGGTGCTCTCACATGTCCTTTTGCTGGGATGAGCGATTCAGCCATTCTGTCTCGAAGTGATACCGGCTCGTTACCGGCTCCCATGCTGGCAGGTAAGCCGTCCTCTTCCCGTTGTACTTTCTGAACCGTGATGTCCCAGTGTGACAATGCCACACCCCAAGGTACACATCGTCCATCGGCGGTTTTCGAAGTGAGAACCCATTTCAGAACGGAGTACCTGGTATATATTTCCAAACGGCATCCTTCTAACATTGTTCGGAAAACTTGGAGTACCCTGAGAATCGCGATCACTTCTTTCTCGGCAATATGATATCGTAATCCCGAATCGTTTAATACTCGCCCTGTGAACCTCACTGGTAGGATTGTTCCATCATACACTTGGCCTAAGACAGCACAAGCTGCCTATTGGTTGGCATGCGGAATAATCACGAATGGTCGACTTCGGTCCGGATGTCGCAACAACGGAGTCGAAACGATCTTCCGTTTCAAGATTTCAAAAGCGTCTTTCGCCCGTAGAAGGTATCGTCCAGAACGGATCCGTTCTTCCGTGAGTCCATACAGTGATGCAGCTATCATTGGGAAATCTTCAATGAACTTATGATAGTAGTTCAAACTTTCGAGAAAAGATAGCACCCCTTTCAGAGTCGTCGGAAAAGGTAAGTCTTGAACTCCTTTCGCAATTTTCGGAACGGCACGTATCCCTTAGGCGCTGATTTCGTGAGAAATGTACGGTATGACCAAATTTCCAAATTCGGCTCTTGGGAAGACTTACTGAAATATTCCAGTAACGCAATCGGAAAAGTTATTCATTGAGGTCGTCGCAGAGCTGATCCCTTGAACTCCTTTCGCAATTTTCGGAACGGCACGTATCCCTTAGGCGCTGATTTCGTGAGAAATGTACGGTATGACCAAATTTCCAAATTCGGCTCTTGGGAAGACTTACTGAAATATTCCAGTAACGCAATCGGAAAAGTAATTCATTGAGGTCGTCGCAGAGCTGATCCCAAGTCGCAGCATCATGAGCGATATCATTGATGTAGGAGCTCCTTCCGAGAACAGGTCCCATCTCTGGTTGCGCTGGAATGTTTCGTTTGAAAACAGTCATCGTCTCCGTCAGGATGGGAACGTTCCGTTCGGCAATCTCGCTTCGGTCGGAAAGTGTCAGCCCCAGATGCTCTAAAACGTCACTGTCCACGTCAGCTTCCTCCGCCGGAGAGAGTCTGACGAACCCCCATAAGCGGTTGTTGATCACAGCTTGGTAGATGAGGGGAGCGTTCTTCAGTCCGAAAGGCATTCCTACCCACTGAAAATATTCGAACGGACACACAAAGGCGGATATCAACTTTGCTCGTTCTGACATCTTCACGGCCCCAAAACCACTGGCCATGTCACCGCTCATAAACATCGCATCTTCGAAACCGATTAGAAGATCGTCGATCAGAGGTAACGGGTAACACGATAGTTTCAGAAAACCATTCACGACCCGGTAATCTATACACGTCCTGATGTCAATTCCGTTTTTCTTCAGAACGATGACTATTGGCGATGCCCAGGGTGACTCCGAATGCTCGATCAAATTCGTCTCCAAACGTTTCTTAAGAAGCTCGTATACTTTCGGAAGGAGGTGGGGTCCGACCGAACGTGGTCTCAGGGCGATGGGTTGTGCATCACCGACGTCCAGATCACAAATAAATATATGAGTAGGCGCAGGAGCTGCATTTCCATCTCCTAGGGAGATCTTGTTGTGATACACCAGAATAGATCGCAACTTCTGTTCTTCCTTCAGAGTAGACTTTCCGGAAACTCCCACATCGTCAGTCGAGATATCACATTGCGGAGTCAAGTCTTCCAGTTCAGGAAGCATAGCAAGTTGATCGCGCAACTGAGACTTCCCTCATGGATATGGGGGTTCCAAATCGAGTTCTTTTGCAGAGACTTTCATGCACCGCTCGTATTCTAAACGAAGCTTTTCAAGCGGAGTGTCTACTCCCCCCGAAGCCATATCATCGTCCGATGGTTCCTCCACACAGTCTTCATTTCGAACGTTATCGTCAGATTCGTAAGCGAGGGTATCGAAAAAAAATTCCCCTTCGGAGTCGACATCTCCGGCGGAATGGGCATCGTTTTGTTCGAGTCATCATCTTCACTTTCGGAGAGCAAAGAGGGTCCCAGGGTTTCTTCGTCACTGGAAACCACGATACCTGCGACTTCGCAGTTAAATCTCGGTCCGCTTTCAACCTCATACATCTGAGTCGAGATAGTCTCCGAACAGACTTTTCCGTCCGGATCGCATTTGAACTGCACATGTTTCTTTTCCACCGGATCGCCTGGGAACTGAGTACCTACAGTCCGCGTTTGGACCAATTTCGAAACTGTGGGTTCCTTTTGAAGTTGTACGATTCCGACTTCGTCCATGCCAGAAGGAGGCCTAGTCATCAGTTTTGTCGGCCATGGATAGTCTACCGGCTGAACACACGGTGGTTCGGCTTCTTGCATCAGCTGTTCAAAACGTTCTTGACGCAGTTACCGTTCCCTCAAAACGGTATTCTCATAGATCAATGATTCCCATTCTTAGTACCTCTTGAGCCCCGGACGGACAAACCTACCGGTCCGAAAGTATCCGAACTCGACTATCCGAGCCAACGCAGTTCGCGTACTCTTCGAGAAGATATATTAATCACTTTCACTGCAACTGGTCATGACTTGCCACCGTAGATAAGCTGGGTCACCCATCGGTCGCCACGCCCGGTCCCTACCACTTCTCCTTGAGGGTTGTTCTGCCCATAGTGAATTCGGACAACGGATTATTCTCCGGGTCGGAGATGTAGCGATTCGTACGAGCATATAGGTAAGTCCAAGCCATGAGTTTTCCGAACGGGTCTTGCTCCTGCCAAAAGGAAGTTCTCTTCGTCCGGAAGTTTGACGAGTCTTTCTCGAATACAAAGTCGAACTCCTGTCGCGTGCATAAAGTCCATTCCTAACAACACATCGACTCCTTCGCCGATATTCGCCACCCATAGTTCTATCACATAGACCACTCTCGGACTGAGAGTGATTTTCACTTCCGTTCGGGCAGTAATTATCGTCGGAATGCCACCCAGTCCGGTTACACGGAGCGGTTTTCCATGAGTCAGATTTAGTTTGAGCCTACGCGCAAGGTCCATACGAAGCATACTCACTGTAGCTCCTGAGTCCAAAAGGACATTCGTCCGACAATTATTTACTGCACCGTGAACCATCGCCACTTTCTGTTTTTTTTTCACTGTGTGATTAGCTCACCATCCATAACGTTCACCGGGGTTCAGTTGGAATTCTGGACGGGAGTCCCATTCCTGGTTTTCCAAATCAACCTTTTCCGGGCGAAGGTCATCATCGTTTTCAATCACTGGCATGCATTGATGGTTATCTTGGGTCCAACATAAACTAAAACACACAACTCTGGGGTATTCTTGAGCCCAACGCGTTCTGGATCCCCATCCAGCGGGCTTACAGGTTTAACGGCTTCTCCACAGAGTCAGTGTCTCTATCCAGAAATTGATTCTGTTCGGAAGTTGAAAAGGGTTCTTTTAAATCGAGCTGGCCTTGTTGTGCAAGTGTCTTCGATCTTCGTAGGATCTTGGAGTCGTCACACTTGCCATCATGATATCTTTCGCAGAGGTTACACAGTCGGATTCGACAGATTCGAGAAGGATGGCCGAGTTGGTAGCATCGTTCGCATTCAATGTCCTTCCACCAATTATCCGTCGTATGGCTTCCTTCATCACAGCTATCACCATGTTTGCTTTGCGAATAATTTTCGAACCGAGGTGACAGCGGTCTTGGACGGAATTCACTTCCGTTCGGATGTTTCCAGCCGGAGTTGTCCATGATACGAAACACTTCTTGCGTCACTTCCTGCCGCATTTCAGACTTCCATGCATCCTTCTGCTTGGCGAAGCTCTCACTCTGATTAGCTTTTGGAACAGAGAGATCACTTTTCGTCGGAGGCTCCTCGTCTTCCGAAGAGCTGCCCCATTCATCATCTCCATCCTCCGATTCATCTTCTGAGTGTGTAACAACGTAAGCTTTCCCAAATTGTTTCGGACGATAGTGTCTCATGTGTTGATTATCCGCTCGGAAATCACGAACTCGGGACAGAGATGCATCCGTTTTCTCATGCCGATCTTCGTCATTCTGTTTCAGGATAAACTCCAAATCTGTCATTGACCGAATCCTCTGTCCTTGTAGAGTCGCTCGGAGCTGTTTGTCGGTCAACTTCCGGATGAAAGTCTTCACATGTTGATCACGGAGTTTCGACGTTGAGCAAATGTCAATGCCTGCCTTGGCCGTCGTCTTGTTAAGACGATAGTAGAATTCGCGCGGAGTTTCAGATTTCCGTTGATCCATAGTATAGTACTTCTCAGAGTCTGTTATCCTTGTCTTGCACTAATTCTCCTGAAATGCCTTCAGAAATTTCTTCCAGTCTCGACGGTTGTCCGTCCGGAGACTTGACCTCTCGTCTCGGACTGTGGAGGACAACTTCAGTTTGAGTTGGTAAACTTTCGTCTTGTCGGACCATCCTCCCGAATTCGCCATACTCTAGAACTTTTCCAACCATTGGATCCGGTCGGAGAGCAATGCCTTCTCGTTGAAATCATCCAAACTGTTTGCGTTGACGAACGGGTTGAAACTGAACAATGTCGTCCCTTGCTACATGGTCGAAGTCACTGGAACGCTTGACGTGATATCTCCAAACGTGCTGCAATCCGAATCGCTTGATGCATTGTCGTCCAAACGAGAATCATCCGAGTCAGGGCCTTCGTCTGGGTCATCGTCCGGAGGATTATCGTTCTGGCGAGATTTCTTTTTTGAACCGTCCTTACGGTCCGACGTCCTTTTGTCGCCCTTGGGTGATCCCTAGAAGGAAGTTTTATTCCAGTCTTCCTTCTGGACGGAGTCTTCGAACTTCCGGTCGCAGTCTGCACTTTGGCCTCGGACTTCACCATTTCGGTCTTGACATTCTTCGCGTTGCGAACTTCCACCTTCGATTTCCCGTCTGAAAGTGTCGCTTGCGACTGGGCAGCAAAAATATCATCTGCACTTTTTGTGGCACGTCCCATCCCTGTTTAATTTTGATGAAGAAACTGGTCTGATCCGTGCTGGATAGATTCTGCACATCCGTGCGACCAGATTCTTCGCCGAACACCATAGAATTCCGAGCCAGTGGGTGTCTTTCGGAAACCACTTTGGCTGCTTGAACTTGGGGTGATGTCGCACGAAGGTTGCGCATGTCCTTCACCAAAAGTGTTTGGAACTTGTGGGCTTCTTCTCTCTCCGGTCACGTTCAGTCTTCATCGCATGCAAACCGGCGTGCATGGCGTCTCGATCTACCTGCGTCGACTGAAGTTCCGCTTGGAGGGCCGTCACGGCGGCGACACTTTCCGTACGAAGAGCCGACATTGCCTCGGCGTTACTTTTCCGGAGACCTGCGATCATGTCGGCGTTTCTCCGGGCTTCAGCGTCAAAGGGTTCCTGAACCTTTGCCTCTAGTAGAGACTGGTACTGCTGGAACTGAGCTTGGGTCTGTTCGTGTTCCGCTGGGACTGCTTCCCGTCGGAATGCTTCAGGATCGAGCGTGGGTTTGGATTCCACCACTGTTTCCGGGTTAGGCATTGGCTCCAACTTTTGAATGAATTCCGATGATCCGACATGTTCCGCCTTCGAGTTCTGTTGCATCATCCGGAGGATCTTTTCCTCGAGACGTCGTTCTCTTTTAGCAGCTTCCGCTTTCTCTCGGACCAGTTCCACTTCGTGTTGAGACAGCCTTGCTTCAAACTCCATTTGTTGCCTCATGGTGGTGGCTTGCTGCTTGAGCTCCAGATTCGAGATTGCTTCATGAAGTTGGGTCATGGCGTTCAGCGCGATTTTTCGTTGAGGTGGACCGAGCGGAGGCCATAGAGTGATCCGAGTATCTCGGCTGGTACGACTTTTCCGAATGGACAGAATGTTCAGACGGGGAATGGACCGACCTATGATCACTCTCGACCACACTTGGTTTCTCCTTTGGAACATCTCCTTCCAGACTCACTGGTTCTTCGGACGGTACTCTCAATACTCGACTCCGGCCAGCAGAGTGACCCGACACCGACATAACAACGTCGTCCGGATCAACTACCGGCGGAAGTTGAGGACGTACCGTTCGGGTGACGTAGTAGCCAGCCATAACTTCTGTGGGGAAATGACCTCCGAGGTTCCGAGCGGTCAACGCGTACGAACCAGAGTAAGGCATGTATGATCTGCCCCGTTCCGAAGATCATCTCGACGATCCTGAGGAACTGTCACGGGACGTTCCGGATCCAGAAGCTCCGCTTGGCAACGACTCATCTGAGCCTCCGGATGGACCCAAGATATTTGAGTCGGAGGCTGAGTTCGGCCGGAGCGACGAGCTTCGGGACGAGAACATCTGATCGCTTGGAACCAGACTTCGGCTTGTGGCTTCGGACACTGGAAACTATTCCAAAGAAGATGCCGACGGGATCGATGACTGCTCCAGACGAGGCGGATCATGTTGCAGACGTTTTGGACGGGGCTCACCGGCGGAAAAACCAGTTTGGCTTCTCGACTTTCGGAGCCCCGACACACGAACTTGATAGACAAAGCTGCATCCCAGAATATCAGCGTCACTAACATCCATTAACAAGTCATCGTCTGGATCTTCAGCGTGCATGTCATCCGACTCTCCTTCCGGAGAAGGTAATCCCAACTCGACTTCCATCTCATCGGTCTCTTCTTCAGAAAGTATGTGGCATTGCCCTTCAGAAATGAGTTGTTTTCATTCGATGAGCTCTACTTCCAAAAGCCGCTGCACTTCCGTGGCTACCGTTC